CGGTGAGATTCGACTGAAACCGTCGCGGAGAGTCACGTTATATATATGAGAATGGGGGAAACGGGCCGGCGAATTTACACTAAACTTTTCTGTCATGTAGCGGACCGCAAAATATCGTCTTGCGGGTCACAAATGGCTCGCTGGCCGCGAGTTTGAGAACCCTAAATTAGATTTTTATTTATTAATATTTACGATTATCTCATTTTTATAAAAAGAATGTAAATATTTATATTTTCCCACATCATTTTCGATGTAAGCAGAATGTAGGCGGGAAAAAATTTCAAAATATCTTAATATTTCATTTTCGGTTTCGGCTTCGGTTTCGGCCGAAATTCATTTTTAACTTTCGGCTTTTCTTCGGTTTCGGCCGAAAGTCATTTTTAAACTTTCGGCCTTTTTCGGTTTCGGCGGAAAGTCATTTTAAACTTTCGGCCCATTTTCGGCTTCGGCCGAAATCAGAAAATCACTTTCGGTCGGTCTCTACCTGTGATTCGAGTTTCTGATACGCTTTCCTTTAATCCAAAAGCGCTGATTTGGATATTAGGGTAATAAGGGGAGAGACTGCAATCAGGTTAGCACAATTTAAAATGAGTAAAACTCGACTAGGGTTAAACCTGAAAAAATCAGGTTTAACCCTACTCTGTTTTACTCATTTTATATTGATTTGAAAATTAGGGTGACATTGACATTCAGGCGTTGCCGGAAAATAACTTTGGCCTCTTAGAAAATCAACTCAAAACACATAATTGACACGCTTCATTTTAGTAATTCCCTAGCTATACCAGTACATTGTGTACAGTAAGTTGGTAGGCAAATACGTGGCACACAATTGTGTATCTAAGACCTGGTGATAACAAGGAGTTAAGGATATTTCTAGAATGTGTAATCAGCCTGTTGCTGTTAGATCTGACGCTCGTCAGAGATACAAAGAAAAAAAAAAAAAAAAAAAAAAAAAAAAAAAAATCAGCCATTTGCTGTTAGTGCTGGCGTTCAGCAAAGATACAATCTGTAATAATGAATACGAACATTGGGAGATAGAACATTCACCGCGCTATTTGGTTTTTAATATTCTGATCACGGTTCTTCTGATTTGCGGCAAAATTGTTCGTTGCATCCAGCGGCGTATTTCACGTACAGCGAATTGATGCAAAAATACAGGAATAACTTTGTATAAGTTGTTCGTCTGTTCAATCAATGTATGATTCGTTCGCTGACGTCTTGCGCAGACAAAACGGGAATGGCCGTGTCGTTGGGTTCTACGATAGGGAAGACTAACATATGAATATGTACGCTAAGGAGAGGTCGATTGTGGCAGTTATTCTCTCGCTGAACTGTCAGTTTAGTCAGTGTTTCTGTCACTGATTGTCTTTTTTTTTTTCTTCTTTTTTTTTGGCAGTCATTCCGTCATTGACATGTCAGTTGTGGCAGTTGTAGTTGATGTTTCTAACACGGTTGAGTGACAGCCGCTGATGCGTGATGCCGGCGTGAAACTTGATGGGGTGGTAAACATCGTGCTGGTCTCCGTAGTGCCGCTGCCGGACGATTTTGCCCGGGCACGGCCGGACGAGCGGACGCTGAGGCTGGAGCTGCAGCCGCCGTGTGGTGGTGCAACGACTCGGTGATGTGCGTTTCTGTTGAACTCCCGCTCGTGCAAGTGTCCCTCTTTCTTCCTGTGCATGCTTGGCTGACCCCTGGGGGGCCGACCAGGTGAGAGAACCCCTCGTGCGCCGGTGGCAGACGTAGGGGTGTTATGTGTCGGATGCCTTGATGATCTGGTCTGGTAATTAGACTCGTCCGTGTAATGTTTGGAACTGTCTCGTGACGTTGATCGGATATCCGTTGCTGAATCTACAAGACAGGAGTTCGCTGTCAAAATAAACGTAACAAAGTAAAGTGTTGTGTATTTGAACCAATACGTCTCTGTTACTCACTAGAACATATGACACAGCAATAACGTATTTTCCCCATAAATATGGTTTGCGTTTTCAATAATAGTTGTATAAGCCCTAGAAACACTGCTCTTAATAATAAGATGAAAATCAAATGTGTCACAAAATGTTTTTCGTTTACTCCAAGCGCTGATTTCAATAGGATGAAAACGTATGTTCGAAAAGTAAAATTCTATAAATAAATGTAAACTCAAATCAGACACTAGTAATATTTTGTTGATCAATTCTATCACCCAAGAATGTAAAAATGAATTAAACATAGTAATTTATGAGCTGTAATATCGCAAAGTGATTAGTCTACGTAAACCCAACAACCAACTTTGTGAAGGTGACATATTATGTGTACTTAGATGTGTAGACAACTTACCATTGGATGTTGCAGTAAGAGATCGGTCAGAGGAGGGTCTTGAAGATTTCGTGTCGTAAGTCTCTGACCGTGTCACGAAGCTGACATCTCTGAGTGTACTGAATGAGTCTTTAGTGACCATCCATAGCGTGGATGTTTCCCGTGTGGTTTCACTAGTGTCCAGCTGGGGTCTCGTTCCAACTGAACTGCGCCTGCGATTTGTTTGGTAAGAGCTGTTGGCATCCATGTAATATCCCGAGGGATTCCCATCGGGTCTTTCTGTCATCGTTTCGCTGGTGTTCCATGTGCTCAATGCGGCTAAGGTGCTTGACGCTATTCCAGAAGTCACATCGGTTCCCCTTGTGTAACTGGTCGTCTGCACAGTGGTCTCCCCTCGACCGGACATTTCACTTGGTGCTACCGTTGATTCTGTAGTGACGGCCGAGGACGACAGCTTCTTAGACGTTTCATCCTTGAGTTCAAAAACACCGTCCCTGACGTCATGCTGGTACCCACGTGATCGACGCCATTCCTCAAGGCGAGTCAACATGAACCTGTAAGACATGTATCGTCTCTGTGGTGGGCGAGGCGATGGGGCTCTCTTGGGCAGGGGCTGCTTTTCTGTGTGCCCTACCCTCGTTGGCCAAATGCTGGACAGATAAGCATAACTCTTTTGTAAAATACTTGTTTGTCTGACTTGGATTGGCAGGGGCTTTAAAGGCACCGCCCTAGGTGCATATGTAGTCCATATTTGTGGAGCTGCTCTTGTTTGGGACATCGGTAGTGCCGGTATATTGATTGGAACTTTAGGAGCCATGGGCGTCACCTCCGGGGATTTTGAATAGGGGGGTCTACTGGCCATGGATGTTTTCGTCCAAGAGCTGGAGGCAGATGACGTCTCCTCAGTAGACTCCTCGGAATAGTCCTCCTCCCGACTGACTGTCTCGGTTTCAGTTTCTGATGTTGTCACAGAGGCCGTGTTCCTGCTGGTCTCCATGACCGTGTCTCTGCTGGTCACATCGGTATCTGTTTCTGTTTCAGTCTCAACATCTTCAATGGATCTTCCTTGTCGCCCGCCGCTTGCATTGTAGTGTGTACTCGTGGTAGTTACTTCGGTGGTTAAACTTTGACGGGTGTCGGGAACCGTCCTTACTCGGGGGCTGGGCCTGGTTCTTGTGGTCTTCTTGAGCAGTTTGGTCGACCTGTCTGACCGTCTTTCACTCGAGTATTGCGGTGTGCTTGAGTAGATACTCCCAGAGCCAACAAAATTTTCAGTTCTAAAATTTGTGAGCGAATCTTGTGAGCCCCTCGAGGGAATCTGAGATATGTCTAACGACATTGGGCTTACAGTGTGTTTAATGGCATAGTAATGGGGGCCTTCGAACGCCTCTTCCGGGACTGTAACTACCAAATTTTCATCGCGGCCATATTCTTTCTTTCTGTCTTGACCTTCCATTAAACCTGTAGCCAGACGATCGCCCATGCTACCAGCGGCATCAGTGTCTTTGACGGATGGGACGTCATCTTTAGGTTCTGGTTTCGGCGCTGACGCATCTCGTTCTAAATCCAGCACTCTAGCAAACTCTCGCGTCTCGTCTATTTCACCAAGTGTTCCAACCGAAGAGTCTGATTGCAGCTCTCGTTGGAATCTCAAAGACTTCTTTAGCCTCGTGCTTTCTCGTCTCCTCCGACGGCGTCGAGGTGAAGCCCTCCTCGGGCGCACGTGTCGCTGTCTGTCCTCTCGCCCAAGTGGTGAATACCTGTACGTCGCTGGGTGGGCTGAACGCTCGAGGAACTCCTTAAATGCTTTAGGAAGTCTGTGGCGATAGGGTATCTTGCCCGTCTTCCAGATCTTTTCCCACACGAGCTTCCGCCTGTGATACATGGACAAGGCCATGAGAAACCAAAGGGCGCCACCGGCAGCAAACAACGTCAGAAATGTGAGGAGTACCTGAATATTACAATAAGATATATATATTATAGTTGTTTAGTGTTCTTCTATCATGGGTAACTAGGTCGGGTGAATTGATTTAAGTTAAGATAATCTTAAGGTCTATTAATTTAAGATATGGTTCCAATTTTTTTTTCAAGAATGTATTATTGTAAGTAGTATTTCTTGAATAAAAATCTACCAAGCACATTAATAAAGGTGAATAACAATGATAGTGAAAGCTGTCAGTTTGCTGAAAGATCAAGTATTATAAACTACCTATTAATCACGGCAATCTGATGTTAAATATCACAAAGTGGCTAAAACTGTACGGTCAGTGTCAGGAAAGGGGGATGTTAATGTAGCTGATTCAAGATGGTCGAATGGGGCTGGTATATGGTTAGGAAGGGGGCTGATATATGGCTAGTAAGGGGGCTGATATATGGCTAGTGATGGGGGCTGATATATGGCTAGTAAGAGGGCTGATATATGTCTAGTGATGGGGGCTGATACATGGCTAGTGTAGGAGCTGATATATGTCTAGTGATGGGGGCTGCTACATGGCTAGTGTGGGGGCTGATATATGGATAGTGAGGGGGCTGATACATGGCTAGTGATGGGGGCTGATACATGGCTAAATTCTTGTTAAGCCCAGTATGGCAGTCCCGGCCCGCTCCCCTACAGAATCACCTTTTCGCTGATCTTCATTCCGTCAGGGTGTATATCTTTAGGTTTGAATCGCCAAAACTCTCGAAGCATCAGTTTAATTCTTACCTGGTCCGAGGTCAGATCTGAATAAAAAATGCCTCGTTCTTTCTGCTCTTCCACTTTGATATTGTCACAAAACGGCCCGTCCCTTTCCCATATGCATCGCTCACAATGGCCAGAGAAAGAATTGCAGACTCGTAGAAAGCAGTTATCGCTGCAGTTGTTGTCACAGTTTTCGCCAAACTTCCCAGCCGGGCACAGCACATTGCAGTGATCTCCTCTGAACCCGGCCGTGCACCCAAACAGGCACGTGCCGTTTACAGGGTCACACAGCGACCCACCAGAGCATGTCACGGGGCATTGGGCCAAACAGTCCTCGCCGTAGGTCCCACTAGGACATTCCTGCTCGCACCGAATGTTGAAGTAACCCGGCTCACATCCCAACACACATTGACCTGAGACTGGCTCGCAGCGGTTCTCTTCACAATGTGGAGAGCATCGCTTGCGACAGCTATGGCCGTAGAATCCACTGGCGCAACTGTCGCTACAAGTTGGACCCCTGTACCCAGAACTGCATCTTTGGCAGTGCCCGGTCTCCGCTATACAACTGTTTCTATAACAGTTGAGTGGACACGACAGCTCACAGCTTTGCCCGTAACTTCCTGTCTCGCATTGACTGCAGTAACCGTTACCGCGGTAACAGGATCCCTCGCACGTGTCGGAGCATTTCCGTTGACAGTTGACCCCGTAGTAGCCGGGCAGACATTGCTGACACAGTGTGGAGGAGTTCAAGCAACCAGAAGCTACGCAAATACCTGCATTAGAGCAAGATTGCAGACAGATATCCAAGTTCTCGTGAACCAAGCAACCGTAACATTTCTCTGTCACGCTGACCGGAGGCCCGCAGTGACTGACGCAAACTCCTTTGAACAAGAAACACTTCACATCTCCGCAGCCACAGAGGAAGGATTCGTTCCGACACGACGGGTCTGTCGGAGAAGAGCTACTACATCTGCCAATACAGTCTTCTAGTGCTGTGCAAAAACTGTTAGAGTCTTGGCTGTCACTCAGGGTGGCTCGAGAAATAATTAAGATCTGAACCACTGTGAAGAGATATCCCCAAGAGCTGCGGATTTGTAAAGTGGTGCGAGTCATGGTGAAGGATGATCTCCCGCTTCTGTCTGGTGGAGGGGGGGGGGGCGCAGGTTGATAGTTATTGTTTACTTCCGTTGCGGGACGCGTAATTTTTTTTTTTCTTTTTTACTCTCAATTGGAACCATTTAATATCCCCAAGAGCTGCGGATTTGTAAAGTGGTGCGAGTCATGGTGAAGGATGATCTCCCGCTTCTGTCTGGTGGAGGGGGGGGGCGCAGGTTGATAGTTATTGTTTACTTCCGTTTCGGGACGCATAATTTTTTTTTTTCTTTTTTAATCTCAGTTGGAACCATTTAGCACCGAGGCTATTTAAAGCTATAAAGAGATCTAACTAAAATAATGTGAATGAGAAAGATAGATAAGTATAGAATATTTACAAACGACTGATACAACATTTAAACTGTTGTTTTGTTTAAAATTGATTGAATTATTGCCAACGAGATATGGAAAAGGGAAAACAGGCTGAAAAGGTTGTCATATTTTTCTTTAAATTTGTTGTTATTTGATTTTTTAATAGTCAAATTGAAAACTCTCGTCAGTGCCCATTTCCGTGGCCGTACGACATTCGGTGACGGACGATTCTCTGTCGCCATGTGACCGCCACCGTTTCACCTTCGGCCATTTCTTCACCTGTTGTTGTTTTTTTTTTCAGTTTATATATTTTCCTTAATATAACAAAACTATTGAAAATAATATTGATTGATACTATCACGTATAAAATATTACATTTAGTTTAAATCAGTGGTTCTCAACCTTTGTAAAGCCGCGACCCTTTAATAGAGTTCCTCATGGTGTGGCGAACCCTAGTCACAAAATTATTTTCATTGCTACTTCATAAATGTAGAGCATAAGTGTTTTCAGATGGTCTGAGGCGACCCCTGGGATAGGGTCGTGCGACCCCCAAAGGGGTCGCGACCCACAGGTTGAGAACCGATTGTTTAAATGGTGAAATAGTGTCATAATCTAGAGGGGACACACGAAACCTTTGCGCCGCCGTGTAATCTCAAGTGCAGTTGTTTCAAATCAATTTAGTTTATAAAGTTTGTTGTTGTTTTTTTTTTTTTTTTTGTTTTTTTAATGTTTTTTTTAAATTTTAAATACTTCTACGAAAAGTTTGAATTGGTCTATTATGTCATTAAAATTAACGCTCCGCTTAACACATATTGCTTTATTTACACAAGTCGTGTGTGTGTGTGTGTCTCGTTAATCTACTCAAAAGCTGTATCACATTCCAACCGTCTTACTACACTACTAGCAGAGACGCCACCTTGGGTGGTAACTACCTGTCACTGGGCGTCACATCGGCTACATAAATTAACACTCAACCACAATGTTCTCATGCAATGAGCAACGTTGCGCACCGCACTCAGGAAAGGCGTTCAATTGTGGGCACCAATCAAAACTTATCTTAAACATTCATGACTGACCTATTCGACGCAGCGCAAAAGCGTGACTGTTTTATTTGTATTCTTCTTCTTCTTCTTCTATATCTTAAGGGCCCACGATCAATTTATTGATCATTTTGGCTCCTATGCATGTAGATGGGATTTGCAATGTTTCTGTTAATGGTGGTGATGAGGAAATTATGCACTAGGGGTTTGAAGGCTTGAGGCAATAGACACAAATGTGTCTAGTGTTGTCGCCTCAACTGTTCCTTTTGAAAGATGGTTCCAGTCCCTGATTGTCTTGGGCAGGAATGAGCAGCTCCTATACTGGCTTCTTGCTGGTATGAGCCTGAATTGCCTGTCATGGCCTCGTCGCTGTCTATGGGGGAGAGGGACGAGTTTCTGTTTAATACTGGAACAGTGGACCAGCCCATTATTTATCTTGTAAATCATGGAGAGCCTGGATTGTCGTCGTCGTTTCTCCAATGGTGATCAGCCTAGTGTTTCTAGCATGCTGCCAACACTAGAGGTATTCCTGTAGCGGTTTTGGACAAAGCGTGCTGCTCGTCGCTGGACCGCCTCCAACCTGTCAATGCTCTTCTGGGTAAATGGGTCCCAGACTGAAGATGCATAATCTAAAATCGGACGGATATTGTATTGCTCATATAAGGAAGAACACCAATATGGGTTTCCGGATCGAGGCATTTCCTATGCCCTGAAATGCGTTTCTTCCACCTATACTAACTCGGGAATACATCTATCAAAAAGCACTGCAGAAACCCTGGATATTTACCGACTTCTCCTAATTATGACACACAACATCCGATTACTAAAACAAGGATTAATGTCCACATGGGGTTTAAATTAAACATAATTTGACATCGACTCGGTGTGGTATTCTTCCTGTGATTTCATTCAATTAAACTGTCTGGATTAAAACATAGAAAATAATTAAAAGTGTATCAATAATCAATCATTTTTATCTCAAAGTAGTCGCATTAATCATGTTTCATTGGCAAATTTACTTACTTGCAAAAAAATGCCATCGCTATATCAAGTGTTCACGTTGGCTACAGCTTCCAGTACATTGTAAGTTTTCGTCCCAGCTACTTGGTCAACTATTCACCAGGTGGAAACAATGTATAGAAACCCTAAAAGAGGGCGTCTGACGCCACCCATGGATGGGAAAGGGGGTGTATAACTGGGACGATAATATATTCATCTCTAGAAAGTTATGTTGCTGTTGTTGAGAAAGCAGCCCTACCAACTGACCAGGTGATCCTTGGTTAAGATTGTCTCCACTTGCTTGGTCAATCGCATGGATTGCGGGTGGGGCTGTCTCAGTGGTGGAGTACTTCCAGCGTGCCGCTTGGCGGCCCGAATATTTGCTTAATTGGGTTGGGGTGAAAGAGGGGTACGCTGGGGAGGGTCTAATGAGCTCCGATTCGAAGGCTTGCTTTTTTTCTTTAGGTATCATTTAAGTATTTTGTAGGCGGGCAAAATATAGCGCATGACTTCTGGCCATTACTCGCCTAGCCTAGGAATGAATGTGACTAATCCTAACAATTTATATCGCAAAGATTTTTTTACCTTACCTGAACCTATTTGGCCCCAATACGAAAAAATGTTGTACAAAACACGCAGTCTTGTTTTTTTTTCTTTTTCAAAAACGTGTGGCTAACTTATTTCATTACATGTATTTATTTTCTTTACTTCACATCTTCAGTTGTAAAATGAAGTTTGGTTCCTGGACGTATGACGGCGATCAGGTCGACCTTGTCCACATCTGCGCCAAGAGCAACGAAGCCAACGTGACCATAAAGAACGGCATTGACCTGCGAGACTTTTACCCCAGCGTCGAGTGGGACATCCTGGAGGTGGACGCGGTCAAGAACATTCGACAGTACCCTTGCTGCACCGAGCGCTACCCCGACATCACCTTCAGCGTGTCCATGAGGAGAAAGACCCTGTTCCACACCGTGAATCTCATCATCCCGTGTGTGGCCATCTCATGCCTGACCGTCCTCGTCTTCTACCTGCCCTCAGACTCGGGCGAGAAGATCACGCTGTGCATCTCCATCCTCCTGTCGCTAACGGTGTTCTTCCTGCTCCTCGCAGAGATCATTCCGCCCACCTCCATTGTGGTGCCCCTCATCGGGAAGTATTTGTTGTTTACCATGATTCTAGTGACGCTGTCCATCATAGTGACGGTCATTGTATTGAATGTCCACTTCCGGTCACCTGCAACACACAGTATGTCCCCGTGGGTCCGTCGCGTCTTCCTCAACATCCTCCCCAGGCTGCTGGTCATGAGGCGCCCCCACCAGGAGCCCGAGGAGCTGCTCCCTCCTAAAAAGGTTGTGATACGAACGTGCAACGGATTGGACATCCGCAGCCAGCAAGAAGGTCAGAGTTCAAGGCCGCCGGTCGGCTACTGCTTTGATGACAAACTATCGCCCAGGTTAAGGAGGGCACACATGGAGGAGCTCCTCCGCCTGGACTTTGGGGAGGAGAGTACGGGCACCATTCGCAGAGCGAGGTACTCAAAGGAAATCATGGACGCAATAGATTCTGTGATATTTATAGCAGAGCACTTAAAGAACGAGGATCGAGATTCTTCGGTAAGTTGAGGAGGAATGGTTCAATAGGGCTAATTTTGTTTAAGTGG